TCCTGGATTCAAGCAGCACGAAAGCTGTGCAGCTTCGGAAGGGATTACAGCTGAAACCCCATTTGACAAGCCTGGAGCAATCAAAATCTTGACAAACTTTACCTGACTGTTAAACCAGCTAAACCCTGAACTCCACTTCTTAATGCCAAACAAACCTTCTGATCGCGACGTCCTCAATGCTCTACCGCAGAGTGCTCCGGCACCCTATTCGCAACTCCGGCTCTCGTGCTGCAGGCATCAACACCCTCTACATGACGGGGCTGCTCCAATTTCCTGCGCGTCTTGTGTTACTTGCTAATTATCATGAAATACTCTTGAAAAGTCCATCTTAGGCTGCCTGTTGTCATGAAGTGCTATCGAAGCACCCCGTCTAAAGACAGATTCGACGGTAGCAGAAGGCTTGACAGGTTTCTGTATGGGCCCGCCGCAGGACTGAAGGGTTTAGCCGCCGCATTGAGATGGGGTCTTTGGGGCAAAGACCAAAACGAGGAGTTCTAGTCTGAAAGACTACGAGCTTCTCAGCTACGCTTCACGATCCAGAAAGTTTTGAGCTCCCTGGACTTCATGCCTTAGCCTGTTGCTAAACGCGAATCATGGGCCACAGGGCCTTTGACGCAGACATGGCAGAGGCCATGCCCGCCGGATTGCGTAGGAACCGGTGCTGTCGCCATCGGGAAGACAGCAACATCTGCAGATTTAGGCTCTCGCCTGTTCTAAAACTTCAATTCCAATTGCAATGGGTCCTCTGGGTCCAGCCGGAGACTGTTGTTGTTAGTTACCTTTAGTCACAGTTAATTTCACAGATGATAGCGGCGCTCCTTTTCACTACCAGCACGACTGCTCTTCTTGTCAGCCTTGGCGTCGCGCTCGTTTTGGTTTACAATCTGCATGCTACTGTAATTGTTGCCAATGCCGGCTGTCATCTCTTTCTCCCATCTGCTCTGAATGTCGGTACTTCTTGCCAGAATGCCACTGCTGCTGCTATGGCGACGGCTACTTCTCGTGCCACCATCCAATTGAAACACCGACGACTAGCACAGGATACAGCGAGACTAAAGGTAGTCTGCCACCCGACATGAACTCCTCCTACTCCTACTCCTACTGCTACTCCTACTCCTCCTAGTCCTACTCCTACTCCTACTGTTACTCCTACTGTTACTCCTACTACAACTAATACTACTACTACTACTACTACTACTACTACTACTAAGACGACGACGACGACTACTACTACTACTACTACTACGGCTACGGCTACGGCTACGGCTACGGCTACGGCTACGGCTACGGCTACGGCTACGGCTACGACTACTACTTTTCTTCTTCTTCTACTACTACTACTCCTGCTGCTACTACTACTACTACTGCTTACTACTCTTGGTCCCACTCCCTCTCCTGCTTCTTCTTATGATGGTGCTGCTGCTACTGCTGCTACTGCTGCTGCTACCCCTGCCCCTACAGACCTTGCCTCCGTCCCTACCCTCCCTACCCCAACCAAGACCCCGACTCACACCCTACCCGTACCACCACCCCCAACCCCTCCAACCCTACTCCCAGTCCTGTTGGTCCCACTCCGACTCCTACTTCTCTTACTACCCACTATCTACTCTACCTACTACCTACGACGACGACCCCGACGACGAGGACGATATGGTCTGTGAGGACGACGACCAGGAATACCAAGTCCACCACAACGAGGTCGACGACGACACCGGCAACTTCGACGATGCGGACGACCACTACGAACTATCATATATAGACGAGGGCGACGGCAAACATGATTATTGTTATCTTTGCTAATCATCTACGAAACAACGCGGTTCTTCTCCTTGTGCTTGGGACAGTGTCGCGTATGGGGGTCAGGAATACAGTCGAATGCCTCTCTGCAGCGAGCATTATCGTCAGGGAAACGCTTGGAAGGTTTCACGGGCAGTTTGCACATACAGTTGCAAGTAGCTAAGTAGCGTTGCTTTTGACTGACTTAGCAACATGAACAGTTGCAGCACTTCTTCGAACTGCCCAGGAAGTTCCAGGCTACGAGGGTCGTTGGGAGTCTGCTGACAGATCCCTGCTCCTCGTGGGACAGCATTTATACCATCGAACCTCTGAAAAACGAAGCCCAAGCTTTTACTGAGCCCCACATCCATGCCCGGTTATGGTTCATGCAGACACACAGACAACCGAACACACGCAAAGAGAGAGAGAGAGAGAACGAGAGCAAGATACATTAATCCTCACGGATGGATGGATGGATGGATGGATGGATGGATGGACCGATGGATGGATGGATGGATGGATGGATGGATGGATGGATGGATGGATAGATGGATGGATTGATGTACGTATGTATGTACATATGTATGTACGTATGTACGTATGTATGTATGTATGTACATATGTATGTATGTATGTATGTATGTACGTATGTATGTAGGTATGCAAGTATGCAAGAATGTATGTATGTATGTATGTATGTATGTACGCATGTATAAAAATCTACATATTTGCATATGTACGTGTAGATGTGTATATATATACACATGGATATAGGAATATATGAGTATGTTCATGTATTTGTGTATGTGTACGTACACATATACACACACGCATATACATGTGTGTGTGTATATGTATGTGTGCGCGTATGTATATACTTACACACACACATTTCTATGTAATTCTATGTGTCTGTACGTATGGACATGCATATGCATGTGTATATAGATATATATGTGTATGTCGAACGTATGTATGTCTGTATGTATGCATATACATGTAAACATGTATGTACAGGTGTATGCATGTATGTGATATGTGTAAACACAGACACACATATGCATGTAGGTATGTACGAACCTATACATATGTGTTTGCGCCTATGTGTGCAGGCGGTGTATGTGTGTCCGTGTGCATGTGTACGAAGTCGTGTTCTCGTGTGTGTGTGTGTGTGTGTAAAAAAGGACAGATCGACGGATGGATTAGACAGATCGATACATAGATGAACGCATGGATACCTCGATGGACAAATAGATAGATAGATAGATTATGAATGCACATGTGCGTGTGTGTGGGCATGTGTGTGAGTGTGTCTGTACATTTACGTATGCTTCCACATATGTGTGTGCGTATATATATATATATATACACATATATATATAGACGCTTTCTGTATATGTATATATGTATGTATGCATAGTCCTGTCCGGTCCTATCTTCGTCTCTGTCTCTGTCCGGTCTGTCCTGTCTGTCCTGTCTCTCTGACGGTCGGTCGGTCTGTCTGCCTGCCTGCCTGTCTGGTTGTCGGTATCTCTGTATGCACGAACGTAGGTATGAATGGCTAGTGATGTATGTATCTGTGTAGGTATGTACGTATGTATGTATGCATGTACATATGTATGGATGGCTGTCCGGCCGGCCGGCCGGACGGATGGATGGGCATGTTTGAGTGTCTCTATAACACGCGCACACACACATAAAATGTGTGTATATATATATACATATATATATATATATGTATACATGTATTCACACACACGGTTTACTGGATGCATATTGCATGCAGACTCAGAAAGATCGTCTCTGCAGACCTTCTACCTGCCGAGACCCTTCTTGTCAGAGGTTCGAACATCGCTTCTCGCAATTGCCGCGGAGAAAGGCGAAACATGACCATTTTGCTTTTCACCTCTCTCCCTCCCTCCCTTCTTCCCCGATTGGCCAACGACAAACGACAAACCCCAAACCTCTCGGATTCCAGATTTCAGGTTCAGTGCTTCCCAAAACCGTACATTCCAACTCCGAAAACCTGAAATCCGAAGCCGGCGGTGCTCGGCGATTTCTCCTTCGGAGAGATCGGCGGATGATTCCTCAGCCAGGGGTTCAGGATGAGGCTTCGTCGAGTTTAAGTTTGGGGTCTTAGATTTGGGGCCTGGGTTGTTGGGTTTCGGGCTTAGTAGGAGTGCTGTTCCGGAAGACTGCACTTATGGGATTTCTTATAGGGATTGTATTCACATGAAAACGCCTGACTTTCGATCATTACTCTTCTTCACTGTAGTGGGTGCCAGGCCTTGAACAAGTCATGAAGGCTTTCAAGTTTAGGTGAGGCGGCCATGACAACGAATCGATTTCACTGGTATTCAGGCTGAGGCGGCTCTTGGATTCTGGGGCTTCCCAACCCTCGAAACCCCAAGCTCCATCTCACACAAGCTTGCTACCGCGGAGTGTCCCAGCTCTTAAAGCTGCCCCCCGAATCCCCCAATCACCGATTTCGCTATTGTGGATGTGGATGAAGAGCTCAGGGTTGGGTGTTCCAAATCTAAACCATGAACGACAAACCTGAGCCCTGAGCAAATCGTCTTAGTCTTTTACCCACAACAAAACTGAAACAACTAACGCCCGGGGTTTAAGTTGAAGGAGGCAGATTCGAACAAGTGATAACCAGTGGTAAGATTGCAGCGAAACCCGAAAGCACAGCTCGAACCGCCTCAAGCACAAACCTCAACCCTGAAACCACTGGACAAAACTGTCCTAGTTTGCGGCTAGGCGGCAACTGGGTGAAAGCTTCCGGATGCAGCGATGGAACGATGCGCATCCGAGGCTTTGTTGGGTTAGGAGTGTGTGCTCCGTGGGAGGTTTCTTTCGTAATTCGAGGCTTGTCGGTGCTACGGATAAACGGAGTTTGAGCTTGCGTTTTGTCAGTATAAGCATTTGGGGAGGTGCTGGAGTCACTGTTCCCGAAGTCACCCCTCCTCTTTAGACGCATCTTCAATCCTCGGAGCTATGTGGGCTAAGTTGTTGGGAGGGGGTGGGTATGGAGGTTCTCCGAACTTCGTCAGCTATCCTGGCGACTTGGTGTTCGCAGAAAGGGTGCCTCATCCTCCATTTTTGAAACTTGATACTTTGCAAGACAGACTGCGAACTTCGCTTGACGAGGGCTTCTAATTTGTCAGGATTCGCTTCTGTCGGGCTCTTGATAATGCGAACAGAGTTTTGGAGTAGACGCCCTAAAGCCCCATCATTGGCCGCCGCTTCCCTGGCACTTTGCCAGGAGGCGGTGCCCGACTTTCGAGCGACTGCCCGGGTTTCCTGAGCTTCGGGGTGCAGGATTCGGGCTTTGAGAGTTTAGGGAGTTTAGGGTTAGGGATGCTTGTCGATTGTGTTGTATATGAATATGGCTCAGGATGTTCAGAGCATCCCTAAACCTCAAGCAACAGTTCGGACTCCCAAGGCCACAGATCTCGTGGGGCTTTTCGGCTTCATGTAGGTCAACTCAAACTCAAAACAGTGTAGACATCAACAACTGTGCTTTGGGGAGGACTTGATTGAAGGTCGAGGCCGAAGATGTCGGGCCACGATGCCTCGGACTTGGTGTCGCACTTATTACTTTGATAGGATCATATCATGAGGTCGGAAACTGCCTGCTGAGCTACTGAACGGTGCAGGAATCGCTACCCGCTTCACAAATTTGGAAACTAAATGGCTTGCATCGAGTTTGGGGGCGTTTTCTACAATACATGTTTTATGCAATCTGCGCAGAGAGCATTGCTAGTCACTCAGGGGTCTATGCTACTCCAAGCCTACGGTTGCCTGCCACCGTAGCTGATAGGATGCAATACGACCGAGCGGGTCTAATATCTCAGGGTAGAGAGAAGTTTTCGGCTGGGGCTTTTGTGGGGAAGTTGCGCTTCACAGTACAGGGCTTGAAAACTTCTTATTTCCATTGGTTTTGCACAGATCCAGAGACGAAGTTGGCATCGAAACGATGGCTCCTCTGGACCAAAACCTTGGGATCAAACACTTCACATTCAGACCTTAAAAGCTAAGACCCCAAACCGATGACTCACACCTTAAAATCGAACTACCCAGATCCTAGACCCCAAGCACCCCGGCACCCTGAGCATCCCCAAACTCCCTCATCCTGTGTCCTCTTCTAGCTCTAAGCGGCGTGAAGTCTGCCAGGTCCGCGTGAAGAGCATTCACGGAGTGTTGAAGCCCTTGGATCAGGATATGGGGTACTCCGGCTCAGGACATAACGGGCTAAGACGTTTCAGGGCTTGGGAAACTTCGGACGTGTGGGTTGCCAGGATTCGGGCCGGAGAGGGAGCCCAGACAGAAGGACTTTAAAGCCTTTACATACGCTTCCGTGCTTAGTGGAAGGAAGCCACCCCAAATAATCCGTGTGGACAAGCCCCAGATCCCAAACCCTGAAGCACTCGAAAATCCTGTTCAGCCAAACAGGTACGAGGTTTTGAAGCTATGTTGTTGGGCACTTGAGGCTGGATGCCGGCGAAACGAAACATGCTGGATATCAGACTCGAAAGCATCAAAGGCAAAAAAAACATTTCCAGCCTGAATTCTCAAATCCGAAACCCAAAAAACAAACAATAGTTAAGAAAAACTGCGAAAGCTGCAAAGCTAAAGCCCTCCGGAGCTGCATGGTGGCATGGTCTGAGGCACGTGAGAAGCCAGGGCACGACCAAGGTGGCCTGAGCGAAGAGCACATCAGACGTTCAGCTTGCACTGAGCAGATCGAAGACTTTCGAAATCCAATTCCGGAAACGCTACGAGTCGTTACCCCTGCATCCCTTCTAGCATGGGTGATGGCTCGAATAGTACGGTTCATTCCAGGCTTGGAGCCTAGGGCGTTTAGGGTTTAGGCGTACTGCACGGACTATACTGGACTAAAAACGTTTTCATCACCTTTTAATAAGCATAGCTGCTCGCCATCCCTGCAGCAAGGCTGAGAGCCTCAAGCAGGTGGAAGTACTGACTGCAGCACAGGCTGGGCCCTGGGCGGATGACGGTATGCACGTCGACTCCCTGCGCCACTCCCCTGCAGGGAGAGGGTCGGCAACGGCGTGGGCGACCAGATGATGTTCAGGACGAGGACTGCGGAGGACGAGGCGGAGGCTGAGGCGGAGGCGGAGGCGGAGGAGGAGGAGGAGATGGAGGAGGAGATGGAGGAGGATGGTGATGGTGCCATTGATGACGATTGGTGATGCTGATTTTGCTCAAACCATCAAACCGAAGACCCCGGCGCAGGTTCGACCGATCGGCCTGTACCGCATGCAGCCCTCCAGGAACTCTTCGTAGCCTCTCAGCGCTTTGGATCTTGCGCGAGCCTGGAGCCTCCTATGGTGTTTACGGGACAGGCTGAGGACAAGCCTTTGGCTGGTTTTAATCGTGCTTTCAGGATGGGTGTGCCTTAAACAGGCCGCGAATGCGGACGTTTTGAAAGCCACGGGGCTATGCGACAAAACCTCGACGGAGTCGATGCTCCAGCTAAGCCCGGCACTGACTTCCCCGGAGTCATCGACATCCTTGGCAGCGGGTATAAGCGACTTCCAGAGATCATCGACTTCAAGCATTTAAGGTTTCTTGTGGTTGCTTTCGCGGGCCTTTTCCAACTGCAGGTACAGCAAGAATACCCTACCAGGTGGAGCCTATGTTGGTGCCTCAGTGCGGAAACACAAAGTGCGATTCAAGGTTTGGGGTTTAGAGTTTGAGTTGTGTTTGACAGGGGCCTCTTTCTCAACGCAGGGAATTATGGTTTGGATTTCGGGAACAGGTTGAGGAAGAAGGCTGTAGGCGGTCCTGAATCGGCAGACGCACCGAAGCCAAGACTGTCCAGTCTGAGGGTTTTGACAGGTTTGGGGCTTGACAGGGTTTCATACAGAGAACGTGGACCTGCGTCCACTGGCTTAGGAATCTTAATAATGCAAGCAATGACAATACAGTCAACAATACTCGGGACAGCAACAATGACTAGCAACACCTCGGTTGCACCGGTGGCAATAGTAGAACAGACATAATGACCAGGCACGCCAAATTGTGGAAAACGTATCAATGCTAACAGTTCCCTGGGGCGATAAGAAGAGAACAGGGACGGTAAACATGGCATTGGTAGAACGACTACAGGCTCTTCTGCGGGAGCAGGGCTTGTGGCTACTAAGCGTTCACTCTGCAATCGTATCATCAAGGAGCCTGTACGGCGGAGCTTGGGGATGAACCCTGAGGCTTCTGAACCCTTAGCGACCAATGGGCGCACAGATTTTCGACAAGGCCCACGGGCTCCAAAAAAAACGACAGCCGGAGACCGCATCCTGTCTTCTGAGCAGCAAAACCGCTCGACCCGAATGCATTGAAAAATACGCTTGAAGATTCCTGGGTGCTTGAAACTCAGGTTACAAGTACCTGGAGTGTGGTGCCCTGTCTAGTTTTTGTTCCAAGTGCCTGCATTTACCCAAGTAGTCACTAATGACCCTACAGTTACGACAAGCCCGTCAACCACAAAGCCCTACCCGCAAGCGTTAAAGCCCTGAGACCCTCAAAGCCTTTTTCACACAGGAGCCAGCAGCTCCATGAACCGCTGCTTGTCGTAGACATCAAAGCCCAGAGTCCGGAAAAAGGCCTCCATGGTGGCCTCACTGTGTTTGTTTCTTTTACTTTTGGAATTGCGGGGGGCTGGTGATTAAGGTTTCAGGTTTCGGGCCTGGGGTTTGGAGCTCCGGCTCTAGTTTCGAAGGACTTGGATTCAATATTCCGGTCCGAGGCGATGTTGTCTCTGCTCCAGAGCCTCGTCGTTTTGGGCCCAGGTATTTTGGAGTCAGAGTTCGCGTGTTCAGGAGTTGCGGCTACGAGTCTCCAGCAATTAGGGCTGAGGACATTTAGGGTTTGGTAACTGGTATGTCGTGGATCGCAGCAGTTTCTCTTTTATGAAGTTCGGCCCCGAAGGTGGGTGGGCCCCAAGGGGGCTACGTTCCTGGCTCTGGGCTTCCGGGCCGGAGGCCACGAACACTATAGAAGTTGCAGGCTGCGTAGAAACCGAAAACCTCTTGATTGCTGAGACACGTCATCCAGGAAGAAGCGAAGCTCGTCCAGCGAAATTTCACCTGGGGTTTTTTACGATGTTGCTGCGGCTGTAGGACTTCTGGGGCTGAGGATTAGGGCTCAGGGTTAAGAAGTTTAGACACTTGCATGGTTCTTCGCTAATCGTAGTATTCGTACAAAGCTAGCACTGAGCCGACAGAATATGGACTGACATAAACCCAGGCTCCGTTGTGGTTGACATCCACAGCGTGGAAGAAAGCTTGGATCAGCGCGATGCACCTGAGCACCGACCAACAGCCCAAACTCTGAACACAAGCGCCAGCGTAAACCCTTCTCTGAACCCAGAAAAATCAATCGTGCAGAGCGTAGGTCTGTGTCGAAATGACCTCAGCAAGGCGCTAGCTCTACCTGTAGGGGTTAGGCACTTCAGAGGCTTGTAAGGCTCGAAGGACATTTGAAACTGCCTGAATGGTTTTTCCCGAGGTTGAACATGTATCTGATATAGTGATTCCGGCCCCCATGTTTCGTTCATGCGGGCATGCTTGTATTTACATAGACTGTCACTACCTCTGCCATGCTGCAAATTTTGTAAAACGTAAAAAATGAAGCGAACAAAAGGTGAAGCAAGAGAGTTCAGAGTTGACGAGTATCATATGCCGCTTCCATTGAACTGCCTGAACCATCCGAAACTTCCCAAAACTATATTGTTACGGCTGGGCAGCTCCTCCTTCTTGTCAACCTCCTCCGGACGAAAGGCTCACTATTGGGGATCAGGGTTTGGGGGTTGAGGCTTTGGGCTTTCAGGCCTGCCTTTTGGCGAATCTGAGGGCACGTGCACTTTTGCTGGTTTGGTAAACTACACACATGCATTGCATATACATACGCATGCAGAGACTGAAGAAGCGTCCACAAGCAACTGTCCTTCTGAATGATGTCAGAATGCTGCTTGTCGGCCGAGCGGAAGGCATTGTCAACGAAGACACCTCTGGAGTGTTAGAGCTTAGCGTCTGGAGTTACGGGGTTAAGGCTTAAGGCTGTAATGCCGGCTTTGTGTGCGAAAACCTCGGGATCTACCATCTCTTCAGAACACTAGCTGTCGAAGCTCGAACTTTACACAGCGAGAGGACGGGCACACATCATACATGACACTTGTTCACCGTCCTTTGTGTGATGTCGAACTTGGCGTCGCTGGACCATCCTAAACCCTAAACCCCAAGCCCAAACCGCCCGGCCTGAAACCTACACCCTGTGCGGCAGAACCTAAACCAGAATGGAAGGTGTGCGGCCCATTTCGGGTTTTGCACGCATGGCTCTGTTTTATTATGACCATCTTGAAAAAAGAAGACATTGACCATGAACAACAGGGTTGGAATGCCTTTTTCAGGGATGACGCGTTCACTATCTCAGGCCTGCTCCGGCAGCGGGCCCAAAGATGATAATTGCGTTTTGGACTGCCTCTAGCTTCGTGCTCGTAGTCACGACAGGCCCTAGACTAGAGTTCTTACTTGCTGTCACTGTGCTTCGCGTGCTGTACAGGACTGCATGCTGTTTCTTTCTCAAGGTTCGTCCGCGCAACAGAATTACCGTTTCGTTGCATGGTTTGAGGCTCAGTTGGTTTAGGGTCTACGGCTTAAGGAAGCAGGTCAGAAACTGTCGTGATTTTCCAACCCCAGGGCAGTCACAGGCGGGAAATCATCCTGCCTGTAATGACATTGAGTACGGCCAGCAGCGTGAAAGAGATGTATATCAAAAGCCTCAAAACAGGGAAACTTGCGAGGCCCGGGTTGCACGGCTCAAGCTTCAAAGTCCGGCTCTTATAACGGATCTTATAATTAGACCATGAATGTGTGTGTGTGTGTGCGTGCGCATGTGTAGGCTGAACGGCTACTGCTGCTACTGTTGTTGACACCAAAGCTATGACTGTAATCTTCTTACATGGTTAGTACGAGTCTAACTCTGCGTCTGACTGCGAATTACCGTATGCTTGGTGTTGGTGACGCTGACGGCTATCACCACCACTACTACTACTACCACCACTACTACCACGATTACCACTACTACAACTACAACTACAACTACAACTACAACTACAACTACAACTACAACTACTACTACTACTACTACTACTTCTACTTCTACTTCTACTTCTACTTCTACGTCTACGTCTACGTCTACGTCTACTTCTACGTCTACTTCTACTTCTACTTCTACTTCTACTTCTACTTCTACTTCTACTTCTACTTCTACTTCTACTTCTACTTCTACTTCTACTCTACTTCTACTTTACTACTACTACTACTAGTACTACTAGTACTACTAGTACTACTAGTACTACTAGTACTAGTACTACTAGTACTACTACTACTAGTACTAGTAGTACTACTAGTAGTACTACTACTACTACTACTACTACTACGTACTACTACTACTACTACTACTACTACTACTACTACTACTACTACTACTACTACTACTACTCTACTACTCTACTACTCTACTACTCTACTACTCTACTACTCTACTACTCTACTACTCTACTACTCTACTACTCTACTACTCTACTACTCTACTACTCTACTACTCTACTACTTTACTACTCTACTACTCTACTACTCTACTACTACTACTACTACGACGACTACTACTACGACTACTACTACTACTACTACTACTACGACGTACTTCTTCTTCCCTCGCGGCGGAGTCCGAGCCGCTCTGCGTCCCAACAGCAGCGAACTAAATCGCTGGTGCCTTGTGGCACGCTCCGATTTCGGAGCCTGGTAGCTTCGGCACGAATGCCAGCGAGCGGCGCCCGTGCCCAGGAGAGGTGTCCGAAGTTGTTTTCGGAGCATACAAGATCAGTGATCAAGGTTATAAAAAGTGGGAGACATGACTACCCCATCATTGCAGGAGATTGGACCTGACGAGTGCCAGCACGTAGCAGCAACTCTGAACGTAGAGCGGAAGTGCATTGCAAGGCCTGTTGGCCGTCTGCAGATTCCCAGCAACTTCCCCTGTCACAGTCTACTTTGGAGCGCAGGAATGTTTGATAACAGCTGGTGCCATCACCTTTACCGGATCGAGTGAGGATAGCAGCAATGTGGTGGATTGCTTTGAGACTGCATGTCCCTCGTTCCAACACCGGTACTGCAAGCGTGCTCGGAAGCGCCAGCGAGTGGCTGTTCTGGACAGCATGGCCCGGAAAATCACCCCGAAAAGCATACCTGTCAAGTTTCTCGAACAGAAAATCATGTGCCAGGGAAAGCGCAAAGAGCTGTGGCCGAGCCTGTGCATGCCAACAGTCAACACAGTCCTGGATAGAAGTGTGCTGTGCATGGATAGGCAGGAGAATGGGCCGCCAAAGGTTGCCCCGTCCTACTTGCGTGATTGCTTCCCATCCTTCTGCAAGCTTGGGCGGTTGCATGATCGCGAGGATGTGATACATGAACGGCACCACCTTCAAAGCGCAGAATCGTGAAGAGGATCGCGGTCCATGTGGCCCGTCAGAGCTCGGAAGCGCAGTGCGAATGCACCGATCTCAACCCGACAGGATGAAGGGCAAGGGTGCTGAGCTCCTTACCACAAGTGGCGAAGATTAATCTCTCCCACAACCTCGAGGGAGGGGCCTAACCCAAAGCGACCCGGACCTAGGGTGGAGGTGCCTGTGCAAATGCTTGGTGTGGGAGAGCCTATGACATGTGGCCCATGCAATCCTGTGTGAGTTCGAGCACTGCGAGGCAGACGCAAGGAGGTGAGGCTCTCTGCACAACAACCAAGAGTTATCAGCCCAATCCCAGGCCCAAGTCCAAGCTGAAAACTGACGGACATGCAACCCTAAATGAAGGAGCCCTGTAGTTGCGAGGGCGCACAAGTCGTCCAAGGGATGGCGCGGAAGGAGCTCGTAGAGCAAGGTCAGCGCTGGCCCACCATCCTGTGGAGATCGCGCTCCACAAGGCTTGCGCCTACGGGTGTGCTTCGAAGTGGCCTGTGTTTTAAGTCTCCAGCGTCGCAGCTTATGGCCTAGGGCCTATGCAGTTTGGCATGTTGCAAACCCAGCGATAAAAAGTACCGGACATGCCGGATGAAGCCCCCACAGGACTCTTGCAAGCCATAAGGCCGACAAAGGAAAGAGCGCACAGCGAAGTCAGTCAAGCCCGTCAAGGGCCCCATGTACACGGAGTCCAGACATCATGCGCCAACGGAGGGCGCACACGCCGGCACCATTGTTTGGTTTCCGCAAGAAGTGTGGGATACTTCGATGCTGCAGCGGCTGCCAGGACTTGTTGAGGGGGGTGGCCACGCCAATGCTTCTCGAACTTATCTTTGTAGCGGTGGTCATGGCTGTATCCTCCCGCCCTGGTATACATGTCCAGTACCACCATGAAGGAATACACTCTGAACCTTCGGGTTGCAAGCACAGTCGCCCTCCTGGTACATCGACCACAAGCTGCTGGTCGGGAATCATCACCAGAGCAGTGTATGGTAGCATGGCAATCCATGGCATAGTGCCACAAGCCGTGTTCCGTTGGAGGTCTGGGGCCAGCTAGAGGGTTACCGTTCAAAAGACAGGTCTCCGCTTTTTGGCGGCATTGCCCACCCATCCATGAGCTGTGAGCCGAGAAGCTACTACTACTACTTCTACTGCTACTACTACTACTACTACTACTACTGCTACTACTGCTACTACTGCTACTACTACTACTACTACTACTACTACTACTAAAAGGGTTGCTCGCCTACTGGCGCCTCGCAGTTTTCAGTGATTCGAGGAGGTAAAATGCTGGGTTTCTCAAAGTTAAGTCAACTTCAAAAAAAACTAACTACTTGGGTTTATGATGATAAGGATGATGATTAAGAGGATGATGATGATGAAAATGGTCAAGTTAACGATGATGATGGTTAGGAAGATGATGATGATGATGGTCAGGTTAACGATGATGCTGAACATGGTGGGTGCATCGTCTTTTTTGAGGTTCTGTCTTTGCAGAGGCGCTGCTGCTAATGCTACTGCTGTTGCTACTGCATCACTGCTTGCGTACTGTTGAAACCCCTGTACGTCCAGCAAATTTACAAATCCCAAACCTCAAAGCCTTGGACCCTGAATCTGTTCCCTGTTCCCCTTGGAACCCCAACACTGATCTGGTCACAGCCCGGATCCGAGCCTCTTAGGCATAAACCTCACAATCCCTGATCCTGGGGACCAAGCAAGCTTACTGGGAGCCACCCCACCTGCCAGGGTCGGAGCTGGCTTAACTTTGCTCAGGGCTCAGGGTTTACAGTTCATCGGTGCTACTGCTAATGCATTTGAAGTGAGTTTGGGTTCTGCATTGATTAGTTTGCCGTTCCCGAACGGAGACTAGTGGTGAACATGGGCACTGCCAATTCGAGTCCGTAATCCGCCCAGTGCAATCTATTTCTTTGCATGTGCAGACACTACTCCTGCACGAGACCTCC